CCCATGCTTAATGTCCTCATCTATGTAGTAAGGAAAATATCTACACCACAAGATCCCTAATAAATGTTTTCTTTTTATCTTCCTTTATACATTTCAACCTCTTTCTAGAAAGTATATACTATATTGTTCCAGAAAAGATTTAAGTTCGGCTTAGAAGTTTCCAGGGAAGAAGGCAAAAAAAAAAGAAACTGGATAGATTCCATGGCCCTCGCTATCCTTAAGGAAGATACAAACCCATTTTGTTGAAAGTACATCGTTTCCTGGCACTGCTCTACACTAACTTATTAGTTCTTTCCTTTTTCCCTGCATATAAATATTTGTTTTTATATAGTTCTCTTTTTTCTGGCTCAACATGGACTTAAAATATATTATTTAAATTTGTACCTTATGTTATTTGTTCTTCAGTTGAAAATTTCAATGCCAAATAGTAATAACCAACAGAAGAGTGATTAGACATTAACCTTGAGTTCTAAGACAATGAAAAATAGATAAACATATATATATTTTTAATTTTAAGAATAAGTTTTTTTCTCCCTATAGTCTACTGTCTCTTTATAGTATTTCACTACCTGCCATTTCAGGCCATCACTTACCTTTACATGGTTGAATTCTTTGCTTCATATGCTAAAGCACTTTGTTGCAATAGTTTGTAAATCTTTTCCCTCAGGATTTGGAGTAGGTAGATTCTGAATTCCCTTTTAGATATAAAGGGATTCATACCAACTTAACCTAAAGGTATGAAAAGACTGATTGGGAAGTATAGCAAGTGTTTTAAGGTTTAAGTTAAGAACATCACACAAGTAAATATAATGCTTCTTATTTTAGTTGCTAAGTGAGAAATGATAATTTTATGGAAGATAACTGGATCCCCTGGCTAATTGGCTTGAAATTCATATATATGCAAATATCAACTTTTTATCAAGATTACATATTCTATCAAAAGTTATTAAATTTAGAGTTTTGAAATCATAAACTTTGTTTTATTCAATCATAAAATTTACAAATCTGAGGTTGAAGAAAAAATCCCAAACCTTTTTAAGATGAAGATTACAATTAGTTACCTTTCTGGGGATCAAAACCTCCGAATACTCTTCTTTTACTTCATTTTAATTCCCATTTGAAAGCTGATACCATTGTCTCATGGTGGGAGCTGGAGAGGAGAGAAAAATAAGAAAATAAAATGTCTAATATATTGTTGATCTTCTGTGGATCAGTTTCATCTAGTTGAAAATCTAACCATCACATATAACAGAGTTTCTTTGGGAAAATGTATTCTGAGTTCCAAGTAGCCAGTTTGTAAGCAAACAATTGGAAGAGTCTATTTGTAAATTGATTGCCTTTTCTAAAATGCAGCAGATATGTATTTTTTCTTAATGTGTTTTCCATTAATCCTTAAATACATTTCATTATTGGATGTTAGTAATTTATTAATTTAATTAACTAGTGGTCATCTAGGTCATTTCTACCTCTAAAATTCTCTCACTAGGGCAAAGATTTTTGTCAAATGGTTTAGTTGTATTAAGATTCCTATGGGCCGGCCCGGTGGCGCACTGCGCTAGTGCGCCGCTTGGGAAGTGCGGAGGCGCTCCCGCCGAGGGTTCGGATCCCACATACAGACCGGTTCCCGCTCACTGGCTGAGCGAGGCGCGGGGGCAACGCCGAGGGTTGCAATCCCGTTGCCGGTCCTGGTCCGGTACGGGGGCGACACTGAGGGGTGCGATCCGTTGCCGGACACGGAAAAAGACAAAAAAAAAAAAGATTCCTAAAGTTTTAATGTTCAAAGATACGGCTTTTTGATCATTATTCACAGGTACAGAAAAGTTAGGCAACATATTTTGGGAGAGAAAAATTTCTTTGGTGATATCCAGATTCTATTGTATAAAATTCAGTACACATGGGTTTAAGAAATATTGTCGGAATAAAATTTTTCTTTAGCAGAATTTAACACTTGTGTTTTTATCTTTCAAGACCATAGGCTTTTTTGGTTCTTAGTTGTTTCCACAAGCCAAGGAGCTAAAGAGGAATGCAAAGTGCTGATAGAACGAGGTTTTTTCACACAAAGTCTTCATTGCAGAGTTTGTGACAAATTATTTATCTTTTCTAAGTCAATTAATCTATTTTAATAATTACTGAAATTCTGCATAGAATATAGTTGCTCTTTAAAAAGTAAAGTAAGCAAGTTGATTAAAAATCTTGGCAAGGTGGGGCTGGCTGGTTATTCAGTTGGTTAGAACACAGTGTTATGACACCAAAGTTAAGGGTTCGGATCCCCTTACTGGCCAGCCACCACACACACACAAAAAGTCTTGGCAAGGGAATCTAAGCAGTTAAGTCTTGATAAAATAAAATCTGCTAAAAATAAGTCATTCCAAGAGAAAAGAAGATGGCCACTGTTCTGGTTTTTACAAACAAAGAAAACCATAAAATGTCTTTGGGGATAGGTAATGAGTGAAGATTTGGGCTTTTTCAGCAAATCTTCCTGTGTTCTGCATAATGTAAGATTTTGTTTGAAAAAATTCCTACCACTTTTGGAGGCAAAAGATTGCCCATATACTGTGTTTTGATTGCCTTGTGGCCAGAAAAAATGAACTAGTAATCATCAACTGCTTCTGTTCTTTTATTATATGACTAGTTTTCATGTATGTATTTTGTAAATTTATAGAAAAAGATGTGGCCTCATAAACACTAAACTCAAGAGTAGTATTTACCTGTGGGAAGAGAGATATAGAACAGAATGAAGCAGAACTTTCAGCTCTTTTCTCTATATACTTCTATATTGTTTGAGCTTTTTTAAAAAATGAGTGTTCTTTTAGCAAGTAAAATCAGAAAAGGAAAATGTATAGGAAAATAAACTATTTAAAAAATTATTTAATAATGTTTAAGTTCTTAAGATTTAAGGCAGATTTTTAAGTAATGGAGATGTAAAACTGATTTTGGAAACAAATAATGTATTATGTCTAATATACAGTATGACTTTTAGAAATATTAAAGTGTTCTGTTTTACCTTGCTAACTGAACTACTGAAATATAGGATATTATTTGTGACTATAATTTTGAATGTTTCAGATGGCTTCTTGTAAATATTTTTAGATAGTATAAAGTATGTCCATTTTAAACTTCTGTAGTTGTGTTTAATTTCTTCTAACAAAGCATAGTGGAAATACACCACACCCAGAATTACTAAGCCCGTAGTGGTTTTTCTGGGATTTTGTTGATCTTGGTAATGATAACTGCAATCTTTGGTATTTTTTTCCTGCTATTTTTTGATGACATTATTAAGATAGAAATATGGAAAGGTCTGAACCTTACAAATAAAGATTTAAAAAGTAAAAAAATGGAAAAAAAGAGAAATACACAAAAGTTAATGTTAGTATTTTACTAAAAACCTTAAAAATTCTTATTTCCTTATATCACTCTCGTTTAGCTTGTTCCATAAATCAAATACATCCTTGGAAGAAATATACTTTTCTTTCATTCATTAGAATTTCTTTTTCCCTTTGCCTTATATTCATTTTTTTGTTTAGTAGAGTTTGTTGAGTACTTACTGTCAGGTATTGGGGTAGATAACAAGATAGCCCAAATTCTGCCCTCAGGAAAAAATCAATACAAAAAAATAAGATAATTTCAGATATTGCTAGAAAAAGGAGTGATTAGGACTGCGTGGCCCTAACACACATGGAGTTGGACAAGATTACAACAGTGGGACTACAGATGTTTGAATATTTATAAAAATGTTTGAGTACTTAAAAGTTATAAATCAGGCTATATCCTGGCCCAGCCTGCATTCCCATGCTGCATTCTGAGTTCCCAGCAGCCTACATGCTCAAGGCCCAGAGGCAAAAGGAGCTGCTCTCTCCTCCAGTAGAGGCTTTTCACCTGCCAGTGGTAGCGTGGATCTGTTGGGTCAGGGTAAGGATGATTGGGTGGTGCCTAGACCCATCTAAAACACTGTAGAAACTGCTCCCACCAGGTCCCCAGGAATCCAATTACAGAGAAGTTCACCTCTCTATTTCCTTGCTTTTCTAACTCAGAAAGTTCTAAGCCCTTTCCCAAATTGTACTACCCAAGCAGAGAGGAGAGGAGTAATATAGGTACCCAGGAAACCTGGCTTGCCTAGGCAATCGCTTTGGTTGATTTGCGGCTGTCTGCTTTAAATGAGTAAAGCTTTTTGTAAGCAGCCACTCCTTCTAAGATTTCTCATGGTGGAAGCTGTCTCCCCTCCACACATATTGGAGCACTCTGAGTTCTTTATCTTCTGGCTGAGGAGCCTCATTCACCTAGCATCTCTTCCTTGTAATTCCATTACTCAATTAATTAATTTTCAAAAAACTTCCTTACAAAGCTGAGAAGGAAGAAAAAAGTCTGTTTTAGTGCTTGTAATATGCAGGGCTCTCTAAAGTGCAGAGCCTCTTGCCTAGGTCTGAAGGTGAATTTGGACTAGGGATGGAGATGACCATAGACTAGTCTTTTACATACTTCTTTTTTTTTTGTCTTTTTTCGTGTCCGGCAACGGATTGCAACCCTCAGTGTCGCGCCCGTACCGGACCGGGACCGGCAACGGGATCGCAACCCTCGGTGTTGCACCCGCACCTCGCTCAGCCAGTGAGCGGGAACCAGTCTGTATGTGGGATCCGAACCCTCGGCGGGAGCGCCACCGCGCTTCCCAAGAGGCGCACTGTAGCAGTGCGCCACCGGGCCGGCCCTTACATACTTCTTTGATTTCTCCCTATCATGCTATTCTGAATCATCCTAGTTCCCCACTCTATTTATTTTAATTTATAAATTTGTTTAATTTATAAAACCAAACTGGTATTTCTTGGGATATCTATGTGTGAAAAGTAAGTTCCAAATGAAAATGAACATTTTCCAAAAGGTTTTTTTTTTGTAAGGTTTTAATAGCAATGACTAGTTTTCCTGTTCCCACCCCTCCAAGGGGCTAATGATTCAGACTTTGCAGATTTAAACACTAGCTTAAATATATTTTATTTCTCTTTTTATAGTTGTGAAAGCTGTGTGGATTTGCTGTTTGTGAGAGGAGCTGGAAACTGTCCTGAGTGTGGCACTCCACTTAGAAAGAACAACTTCAGGGTACAACTCTTTGAAGATCCCACTGTTGACAAGGAGGTTGAGATTCGGAAAAAAGTGCTAAAGATGTAAGTATTATTGCTTGAATGATTAGGTCAAGAAAGAGGACTTTAACAATTATTTTAATAATTGATATCATTATTTTTGATATAAATGTGGATAGATTGACAAGTGAATATAAAATCATCCATATATGAAGGTATTTCAAAAAGTTCATGAGAAGATTTGTATTATTTTTTAATTCTATTTTTCCATGAACTTTTTGAAGTACCCTTTTATTTGTTCAAAAAAATTTAAGTTCTTAGAGGACTGAGTGATATTATTTATCTAATCTTTGTTAAAGAAGAGCCTCTTGATTGATGGTTCCACAGTCCATCTATTCATTTGCGATCTGTTCTTTAATTTAACAAATATGTATTGAGTACCTACTGTGTGAAAACAAAATGATGAGTAAAACAGCTGTGAACCTTGTCCTCATGAGGCTTACATACAGTAGCACAGGATAGCAAAGAGATAGATAGTAAAACAGGTAAACAAAACAAATATGTGATTATAAATTGAGAAAGTGCTGTGAAGTTTAGTGACTGAGTGTTGGTGGTGGTCAATGATGTCAGATAAGGGCTGAGGAGGTAACATTAAGTTGAGGCTTGGAGGTTATTAGAGAAAAGCAAGTGTTAGCTATAATTTATTTTGGTATATATATGTGTGGGCATATATATATATTTTTCCTTATCTTTTTCATTTATAATTTAGCTTTTACTTTTTCCTCTGTGTTAATAGTTTTGGATTTTATCATAATGCACCCTTTAAAAAATATTTAATTAATACTTTTATTTAATTTCTTATTATTTTTGGTGGTACATATTTCAACCCAGGTCCCCAATGTTTTGGCAGCATTTTCCTAGGAACCTAAACAGTGACACATTACCAGTGCCCCTACCTAGCTGCTCTTTTATTATTTGGATTACATCTGGGAGGTAGTCTCTTAGATTCTGACCTTTTATTAATAATCCTTGCAGTTTCCTAATTCTTCACAGGTATGTTATAGTATTTACAGATTTTCCTCATCTAGCATTCTTTAGAGTATAACTGGCAAGAAAAATTAGAGCATCTCTTTTGAATTAATTTTCAGTTTTCTGTAAATTAGTGAATCTATTTATAAGAAGTAAACAGTATCATAATTTTCAGTGGTATGCCTTGTTCAAGCTTATTTTGCAATGCTTCAGTCTCCTAATTTCTCTTTCCCTAAGTCTTTTAAGGATTTGACATATTGTATCATTCTTTCCTGATTCTTCTCCTTCTCTGTAGTCCTGAGGATTTAGGAACAGTTGGTTTAGTTACAAACCTGGTGGCAAGAAAACAGTTTTTCCATAGTAATCAATCCTTTTCTATGTATCATGTATGAATTAGGTAAGAACAAGCAAACTAGTTAGATAATTTTGAAAGCAATGATATATGTAATGTGTTGATTTTTCTCTTCTCTTAAAGATACAATAAAAGAGAAGAAGACTTTCCTAGTCTAAGAGAGTATAATGATTTCCTGGAAGAAGTGGAAGAAATTGGTATGTTTTTAATTTGATGTGCTTGCCTATGAGACATTGTGCTTTTATCTTTTAGATGCCTAGGAGAACACCTCACATAAAAATCTCTAATAAGGTTTTTTGTGGTAGTTGATGTTTACCTAATTACTTTCTTTTGTACTTGAATCATATGTGTCAAATTGAAGGAATGCTGAAGTAGGGGACATTCTTAAGTCATATTTTATCTCAGGAGAAATAAGATTAATAGAGGTAGTAATACTTTATAGCTGGGCAGGAAGGCTATATATTTGTATGTATCTATATGTTGATAATGTAGTAGAGTAGTTTAAACAGAAGGAAACAATATTCTGATTTTTTAAAAACAGGATTTCTGTTAACTGTATCCATGATGACTAATGCCATATGTTGTTTATCATCATTTATGCTTCTGTGGATACAGTAGTTTGAAAACACTTTGAAACAGTTGACTGTTAGTGGCATCCTATTATTCAGTATTATTCTGGAAGCAGAGGTTAGTGTACTCTGAGTGCCTTTTCTTTCTGATGTGATTAGTCAAAAGGATGCTTTAAAAAAGAGTATTGTTTCTATTTTCATAAATAAAATTTCAGAGATGTTAGAGTCTGGAAGTTGTTATACTTGTACATTGATATAAAAAAATTAATGCTATTCTTTAAAGTTGCCATAATTATTACTAAGTGCAGGTTTGGAAATGACACAAAAGTTACAAACTGAAAATTAGAATGAGACCATGAGGATCAAATAATCATCATTTTTATCCTTCTCTTGAACTTGATAGCCAACTATACTCACACTATATATTATTAAAATATGATTGTAATAAAATTATATGTGGTTTATATATGGTAAATTTTTAGAAAATTCAAATTCTTGAGAAATGAATATTCTAATTCCTTTAATTTCTTTACTGAGAAAATCCAGAAAATCTTTTTGTTCCAACTGTTATAGAAACTTTTCTAAAATGTCTAAATTCAGTTGTTATGCTATAGCAAAGACATTTACAGAACATAATTTAAGATTTTTCTGGGATCTTTTAGTGCCTTAGAGCCACTGCTTATTTAATTCTAATTGTATTCAGCGCACTTTGTATGTAATCTCAGCAACCAAAAGTGGATATGGATGTTAGCTGAAAAGATTGTAGAATTGGGAGTGCCAAGGCAAAGTGGAAAAGTTAGGATATAGATTGAGAAGATAAACCAAAAAGAAATCTGCAAGAACTGAGCAAGTATGCAGCTATATAGAAATCTGACTATACATAGATATTAAGTATAGGACAAGAAATTGGATAGCAATCAGGGAGAAACCCAGCTTACATATATTCTAAAGGCAATGTGATTAGTCAAAAGTCTGGTCAGGCAATAAAGGGAAAGGAGATTATAGATATTGCAGTGCAAGTTGAATACATGGTCACAATTTCAAGCAGACAGTCAGGATAACTAAAGAAAACTGATGGACAAAGGAGGTGGGGAACAGGTTTAAATGATGAACTACAAGGGGATCTTGACTAGTAAAAAAATATAGTTTTTTTGCCATGAGATGAATTAGTTTGAAGGTATGGACGACTTGGGGCCCATAGGTTAAACCAGGTTCATGACCAGAAATAGGAACTAGGATCCACAGGCAAGTCTAGATATTAGGGCAGTATGATATCTAATACTTTCTTTACCAGATAGGAAACTGTGGCTCAGAACATTTAGTTTGAAAGTGATCCTGATATTATGTATATTTATGAAGGACTGTCTTCAGTTGCAGTATGTGAAAACTCTCTTAATCAACCTCCACTTAATTAAATTGTCTCATTGGAGTAACTTACTGGAGTCCTTACATAAAATGTACTGATGCCCAAAGCATAATGAATGCATGGTGGATGCTGTCCCTTAGAAGCCACCCTCAAGCATGCCTCTGTACTTCTCTCACCAGTTCAGTTATGCACTAAGGGTCATTTGCATTGATAACAAAACCTTCTTATGCTGGTCGTACTTGTTATTGTAGGTATGGAATTTAATTAAATAGTGTATAAGGTTGGGAAAAAAATTGTAAAGCTCAAGGAGGATTCTGCTTCTCAAGTTCTTGGTTTGCTTTAAAAAAAATGGAAACTGAACAGTATAGATGACTGCTATATATTATATAAGAAAGAAGCAGAACTCCAATTAGAGAGTAGACTTTGGATCTGCTTCTCAAGTTCTTGGTTTGCTTTAAAAAAAATGGAAACTGAACAGTATAGATGACTGTTATATATTATATAAGAAAGAAGCAGAACTCCAATTAGAGAGTAGACTTTGGATGTTTGTCATTAAGTTAGAGAATGTCTGTACACTTACCATATAAGTTTTAAGGTAAAATAAGTATTTAAGAAGAGACAGAGAGTATGTTTCCTTCCTTTAACAGACAGTAATCAACTATAAATCCTCGTCATGTTGTTTAAAGAGTGGGTTCTAATGTATTTGAAGATATTGATGATTTTTGGAACCTGGGCTCAAGGATTTATAGATTATTTTCTGAACATCAGCTCAATTCAGCAAATATTTATAATTATTTTATATCATCTGCTTTGCTGCTGAGGATGTTTGCTCTCAATAAGCTCAGACTCTAAAGGCGAGAAATGTATGTAAAGTAATAACTATAATTTGATGTGATGCTTTATAATATAGGCATTTATAAAATGCTATGGGAATACAGATAAGAAAGCAATTAATCCAGCATTGGGAAAAAAGGTATAATTTGCAGATTATAATAATAATCTCTTCAGAGAAGAGATGACATTTGGATTTAATCTTAAAAGATGAATAGGAGTTTACCAGGTGGAAAGAGGATGGAAGAACATTTGTAGCAAAAGGAAAAAGGCATAGAGATATAAAAGTGTTGAGCTTGTTGGAGAATGAGCAAGTAGTCCGTTGTAGGTAGGTAGAACAATGGGAATGACTGAAAATGAGGCTGGAAAAACAAGGCAGACCTGGGTTAAGGAGGGTTTAGTTCTACAGGCAACAAAAGCAAAAATAGACAAATAGGATCACATTGAACTAAAAAGCTTCTGCACAGCAAAGGAAACAGAGTGAAGAGATAATCACACAATGGGAGAAAATATAACATCTCTTCCCCCCACCAGTCTCTAGTAACCACTGTTCTACTCTCTACTTTTATGAGCTCAACTGTTTTTGCTTCCACATATGAGTGAGAACATGTGGTATTTCTCTCTGTATCCAGTTTATTTCACCTAACATAATTTTCTCCAAGGTCATCCATGTTGCTGCAAATGGCAGAATTTCATTCTTTTGTATGGCTGAGTAGTATTCCATTGTGTGTGTGTGTGTGTGTATATATATACACACATACCACATTTTATTTATCCAATCATCCATTGAAGGACATTTAGGTTGGTTCAGATTCTTGGCTATTGTGAATAGAGCCATGATAAACATGGGAGTGCAGGTATCCCTTCAACTTGTCGATTTCCATTCCTCTGCATAAATACCCAGCAGTGGAATTGCTGGATTATGTGGTAGTTCTGTCTGTAATTGTTTGAGAAATCTTCATACTGTTTTCCTTAATGGCTGTATTAATTTACATTCCCACAAACAATGTATAAGAATTCCCTTTTCACCACATCCTTGCCAGCAATTGTTATTTTCTGGTTTTTTGTTTTTGTTTTTGTTTGTTTTTTATAATAGCCATTCTAACTAGGGTGAGATGTCATCTCATTGTGGTTTTGATTTCCATTTCTGTGATGATTAGTGATGTTGAGTAATTTTTCATGTATTTGTTGGCCATTTGTATGTTTTCTTTTGAAAAATGTCTATTCAGGTCCTTTGCCCATTTTTAAATTGAATTATTTGGTTGTTTTTTTTTTTTTTTTTTCTATTGAGTTGTTTGAGTTCTTTGTATGTTCTGGATGTTAATCCCTTGTTGGATGCATAGTTTGCAAATATTTTCTCCCATTCTGAAGGTTGTCTTTTTGCTCTGTTGATTGTTTCCTTTGTTGTGCAGAAGCTTTTTAGATATAATCTCATTTGTTAATTTTTATTTTTGTTCTCTGTGCTTCTGAAATATTATTCATCAAATCATTGCTCAGACCTATGTCCAATATTTTTTATTTTTTATTTTTTTTGGGTTGACCTGTACGGGGATCTAAACTCTTGACCTTGGTGTTACAATGCTGCACTCTAATCACCTGAGCTAACTGGCAAGCTCCTCTTCAAAAAGTTTTATAGTTTCAGGTCTTACATTTATGTTTTTAATCCATTTTGGGTTGATTTCATTATAGGATTTGATTGCCCATTTTTTAATTGGTTTTTTTGGGTTTTTTTTTTTTTTTTTCTATTGAGTTGTTTGAGTTCTTTGTATGTTCTGGATGTTAATCCCTTGTTGGATGCATAGTTTGCAAATATTTTCTCCCATTCTGAAGGTTGTCTTTTTGCTCTGTTGATTGTTTCCTTTGTTGTGCAGAAGCTTTTTAGATATAATCTCATTTGTTAATTTTTATTTTTGTTCTCTGTGCTTCTGAAATATTATTCATCAAATCATTGCTCAGACCTATGTCCAATATTTTTTATTTTTTATTTTTTTTGGGTTGACCTGTACGGGGATCTAAACTCTTGACCTTGGTGTTACAATGCTGCACTCTAATCACCTGAGCTAACTGGCAAGCTCCTCTTCAAAAAGTTTTATAGTTTCAGGTCTTACATTTATGTTTTTAATCCATTTTGGGTTGATTTCATTATAGGATTTGAGATAGAGGTCTAGTTTCATTCTTCTGCATATGGATCTCCAATTTTCCCAGCACTGTTTATGGAAGAGACTGTTCTTTCTCTAATGTATGTTCTTGGCTCCTTTGTCAAAAATCAGTTGGCTGTAGGCTTATGGATTTATTTCTGAACTCTTATTTTGTTCTATTGGTCTATGCATCTCGTCTGTTTTTATGCTGGTACCATACTGTTTCAATTACTATAGCTTTGTAGTATATTTTGAAGTAAGGGAGTGTGACATCCCCTGCTTTGTTCTTTTTG